TTATGAAGTAATTTAAGTGCAGCAAATAAATCATTAATTTTGACTTATCTATATTGATATTGAATTGTATTTCCCGTTATTACTAAAAATCTAATTGTCAAATTTTTTAATTGTTATATGAAATAATATCTTAAAAATAAAAATATTACACAAATACTTTTTAATATATAAAAGCTAATGCATTAATTACTTAGAATATTACTGTTAATAATCATCTAGTTATGAAAGGTTAAATTTCAATATAAAAATTTTTTTAAAAAAATTTTAAAAAGAAATTATTATATACTATTCTTTAGTCTGTCCAACCTTATTCTTTTGTGCTCATCAACTAATCTTGATCGCATATTAATGTTTCAACAATTTCTGGAGTTAGGTTTGATTGATAATTATCAATAATTCTTCTAGTGGTGTTAAATATCTGATTAATATAATATAAGTTAGCTTGTATTATGTAAACAAACAACTATATCTTTACTTACTGATTCTGAAGCTACAAATATAATTGGAATAGCAAGAATGTCTCTTGCTATTGATGCCACAGAAGGATATAATAGCACATTTTCTTTCTACCAAGCTAAAATGTCAAATAGTTCTGAAGAATAGGAATGAAGCAGATCTGCAAGATATTGCTTAAAGTTATTTATTTTATTAGCAATATTATTTTGATTATCTGCAAAAAATGGATCAAAATTTTTCATTAATTCATCTTTCTGAGAAATAATATTAGAAAAATTATATCTGTCAGTAGCAACTGCATTTTGTAAATACTTTGTTCTATAGATTGTTATAACACTGTGATTGTAAATGAGTACATCAAAAGAAAACCTGTAAATCAATTTTTTTAATTTTCATTAATAGCTATATGCAAAGTACTCTTGTTATAGCAAACTCTCGATATAAATATAGTAAAGAGCAGTTTATATAAAAACCCTTATGATATAGTGATTTACTTAAAATTTACTAATAGACTTTCATTATATGTCAAGTCCGATTATGGTTATACGGGGTCTTCGTTACTTCGGCCTTCCAATTCAACTCGCTTGGCTTCCCACTCAGTCTGGAGTATCGTTCCAGGTACTACCACCAATATACTACGACGTTGACTACACAGTTTTTCCTTTAGAACGTTTTTCACTAAGCTAAAACTTATTCGAAAGCCAAATCTTATTTTATTATTATCAAGATCGCTATATTTAAATACAAGATTATCTTCGGATATATGTTTATCCGGGTTACACGCATTAGACTATCACTAGATTAGACTTTTAATTAATTCATGCATTATGCGAAATTCGAATCACCCCACTTATGCAAATCCGAATCACGCCATTATCGTTACCCAGTTACGATCGGGTAACCAGTGATCGTACCTAACCCTAGCAATACCGATACAAGGGGTGTTGGTCGTCACTATGACAACAGTTTCAACAGGTTTTTGTTTTCTACTTCTTAAGATATAATGCCATTGAGAAACTTTAAAAGGATCTCTAAACTTTTTGGCAAATAAGTGAACAAAAGATTTATCTGGGTCAAATCAGCTATCCCAATAGTTAAAATTATTATAATTAGTATTATACCAAGAAAGTGCATTCTCTCTAAGAAAGTTTGGAACAATAGCTATTCTTTTGTTAGAAGTAACATTATTTCTTATACATGCTCTACCAAAAGCTTCAAGCCATTCAACAGGGTCTTCATCACTATTTTTATGAAAGACAGAAAAATCAATCATTTTATGTTCTTTTTGAGCTTTTGTTGCAGATCTATGCATATTGTCTTGTAATACTTGATTCAATCCTTATAAAATAGCTTGTAGAGTTTGATTAGGATCAAATTGTTCTGGTTGGTCATTATTATCATTATTATTATTATTATTATTATTGTTTTCTTCTTGATTTTCTCTAATAGGTATTTGTTGTTCCCTAGCTTGTGGTTTATTTTCCCCATCAGGTACTATAAGTTGGGTCATAGTTTCATTATTGGCTTCTTCTCCTTGTTCACCTCTATGTATACTGTTATTTTGTTGAGATATGGCTTCTAAGTTTGTTGTTTTTGGGGCTTTAATTTGAGAAGTAGATGCAGAGGCTTGTGATTGTTTTATTTCTTGAGCTAATTTATTTATTTTATCAAGTCCCTCTTTAACTTTTTGATGATTTTGTTCAATTCATTGGGCAAGAGTATTAAAAGAAGGGTTGCTTGTTTGTTCACCACTTTCATATCAAAAATTTCTGTGAGTTCAGGTGAGTTAGTAAATCCAAATGTTAATATTCACCTTTTTTCTACTTCAGGAACAATTAATTCAAATTCTTTAGGAGGATTATTGTTTTTATATTGGCAAGAAGTTATTAAATCATGTAAAAGTGCTTCTCTACTTTGATTTCTTTTTAATTTAAAGATTTGTTCAAAAATATCTACAGTATATCTGGAAGGTGTTTCACCATTATATTCACGTTAATACCAATTTCAAAATCTTTAAAATTCAGATGAGATGTATGTGCTTAAATTTAAAAGATTACAAATAGGACAACTTGGGTCTGGTTTAGTATTATATTTGCTTTTAGAAATAACTTGATTGCTTTGATAAATAAAGTTATGATTCTGGATTTGTCCTTTATATTGATCAATATTCATAAAGGCTTAATAGAAGTAGGTTGAGAAACTGTGAAGTTTTCTATAACGGAATAATTCTTTGATACTGTCAGATGAATAAATATTGTTATTGACTTCTTGTTCAAATAATTTTAAGTTTGCACACTAAGAAGGAGTATAGGTTCGAGGCTTTTGTTGTCGAACAATAGTTGGAAGTTGATAGATTATGCCTTGTGGATTATCAATATTTGGTAGTTTAAGATAATAAGTTGGTTGAGTAGAAGGAGTATTAAATCCTGGTTCAATTATATGACCGTTATCTCAGAGATCTTCAGAAAGAGGTCGAGAGCGTTTATTTCCTCAAAGGAAACCACAATTTTTAGAATAACAAAATAATAAATTTGTTTGTTGAGAAGTTAAAGGTGAGCCAAATTGTAATTGAACAATAGCTGATTCAAGTGTTTCAACTAAGTTAGAGTATTCCTCATCAGTAGGAATGCGATTAAGATATTTCCAAATAAAGTTAAAATAGTGTTGAGAGAAAGATTACATAAGTTTATAAAGATAAGAATAAATTTAAGAACTTTATATTTAATAAAATATAAATAAACTAAAAAAAATTTTAATTCTAAACTAATTAATAAAGTTTTAAAATATAATGATATTTGTAAAGAAAGAGAAGAAAGAAAAGAAAAAAAAAAGAAAATTTAAAATATATGATTAATGGAGTTTGATTTAATAGTCTCCTAAGATACTTTCGCAATACAATAGGTTTAAAAGAGGTTTACAACCTATTGTTCCTTTATGTGCTAACTAGGTTTAACTAACAAAGTAGTTTGCCCTTTTCAAGGATTTATTAGCAACAAAAACTTACAAATATCCTAAGATATAAGCAGAGGAAGAAGCACTAATAATCAGGCCGTTTTCAACTATATATAGCTTTAAACTCCAAATAATATAAAGAGAAGAATACTTTATATTATTTATAACAAGAAAGAGAATATTTATACTAAAAAAAATTAATAATAATTTATAAAAGAAAAATAAAAAAAAATTTCTTTCTTGCAACATACATGCGCAATAGCAACAGTAAATTTTATAACTGATAAGTCACAACAGGTTGGACCGAGTTTCAAAGAACCGAAAACATCATTTCGAGAGCTAAAAACTCGGAATCGACCCGAAAGATCTGGAACCGGATCTAATACGACCAATCAATACGCATTATTTCATTCTTCGTTCCCGATAATTGGATTTTCAATTACTGTACCTCTCCTCAAATCTGATATTTTCGCAGCGCAAAACATGAGTTTGATAAGGGTGACATGTAGGCTATTATTTCAAGATTACTAGCTTGTAATCTTCTTTATTGTATTTGGTAGATTCATTATTGTATTTGGTAGAGTGGATGGATTTTTTCTACACGATTCAAAATCGTATTGGACAGATCAATAACATCACAATCACATTCGCGTCATTTTGTATGATAATTCAGAATCGATAAAAATCTTATTAGAAGAATCGATTGTTTCAACTAATACAGTCGATACTTAGACTTATATATATTTAGATTAGAACCATTTTGTTTTAATAATTTAAACCAACATTTTTATGATTTAGAGAACATAGTATTGACTGTATTTGAATTTGTTATCAAGAGCAGTTTTAAAAGTCTTGGAATTATAATGAACCACGAAACATTTTATTGAGATAAACTAAATGATGGAGAGAATGTTTGACAAATTGGAGGTTTAGAAGATGTTATTTTAGAAACTATTGAACAGATTCATACTTTTATTGTAATTGCATTGCAACATTGCGTGAAAAACTGCGTGGGAAATTTAGAAAAGGATATTGTACGTATATGTTTGGTAGGCAAACCTGGAACAGGCAAAACATCACTTGCCTTGTGTATAGCTGGTATGATTGAACACTATTCTTGGATGATAATTTTGTCTTGTGTAATTGTCCGAAGCGTAGCGAGGACTCTATGGTAACGACTACCTGGATTAGAAGAACTAATATTAAAGATATCGTTTCAAGAGAAGAGCGACTTCATGATTCTGATTTAGTTCACAATTTACACACTAGAGATGCAATAGTTACGGCAAGTTACGGAGTTTAGCCTGCCGTAACTCACTATAGTTATTACATATCAGATATTATAGAGATAGTTACGGCGATAGTTACGGCAAGTTACGGAAGTTTCACCTGCACCTCTATTACACGCTCGTAATTTATTGCTTAGTAGACAAACAGGTTTTATACCGATCAAAAATTCTTGAGGTTACTCTGAATTATGGTTAACACTGGGTTACACTTTAGAGATAGATAGTTTATTGATAGCAGTAAATTACATAAGAAAACTCATCACACAATGGTTGACTGAAAAAATAATAAATGATAGATTCTTATTAACGAGTAGAAAAGAATCTATTATCTTCTCCAAAGTCACTTTTAAGTTTTGCTACATTTGTTAGTATCCAAGCTGTTCCAATTGGATGTAATTGAGCATTAGGAACTAGAGTTTGAACAGAGGGTGGATGCATGAAAGCATTAGGGTAAAGATTGTGAATGTTGTCTCGCACAGTATAAGCTCAGTAACACTGGTAAAGTGAAAAATGCCACGAGAGTTTTCATCTCTACGCATATTCTGAAGGCCATTTGTTGCGAAACTGTTCATAATGGCATGATACGCGGGCAAACCATGCTGAAGAATTCAATTCTGATTCGGAACAATGATGAGAACCGGATCAAGAATTTTTACATTTGCAAGATGCCTTTCGTACTTCGAAATTTCTTCATCAAAAGCTTTCGGAAAAATAGTTTTGAGTGCATCACGGGTAGATGGACAGTCATAGTATTCGGACATTCTATAAAATATAATGTGAAAATGAGTGTTCTTTTGTTAACTAAAATGAACAGAGTGTCACTTACTCTTCGCTTGACGAATCCATTGAACAAAGTGTAATTGCTATGAAAAATATTTGATTATAATGATACATGAAATCTAATTTTTAATTTATCGACATTGTAATTCTCACCTTTCCACAGCTGTAGAATACCAAATATGGTAGCTATGATCGAGACAAAAAATGCAAAAGGGACAACGGGAATAACTTAGGAAGGCAACAAAAGGGATTGTAATTATTTCGGGCTGTAATAACTTTCGTAAGTTTACGTTTATATAATTCGCCGATGTAGCAAGTAAAATAAATGTTAAAACCCGTCTATAAATGACTATTATATATATCATATTGACCGATTTTGTTTGACCCTAAAATTAGCCAATCATGATTGAGAATTATTTGTCATTAAAATTTATTACAAAGCAAGGTTTTACAAAAATGATCTTTTAAACTTACTTTGAATCCATAATTAAAAATATATATAATATTGTAATATCTACATATTTAATTATTAGCTAAAAGTAAGTTAAAAAGGCTATTTGCCTGAAAAATTGCATCTGAATTCACTCTTATCCATTATACAACCAATTATTCAATAACAAGCCAATTCTTCACTACCTGAAAATACCCAAACACTTCAACAACTAATGATATTCTTTCTTTTACAACTTAGAGTAGCTCCTTTTTGATTGTTATTGTAATTATTAATGTTTTTAATAAATTATATAAAATCTAGGACACTATCAACCTAAAAAGGATTAATTTTACTAATATTTTAAAAGAAAATAAAAATTAAACAGGTAGATAATGAATTTAAAATCAATAACCTTCTAAGATACTATAAAGCTTTTGCAATAAATCAATATAAGATGACATCTATTATTCTTTATATGCTAACTGGGTATAACAAAAATTGTTTGTCATTTACAAGGATTATTAGCTACTCAAACTTAAAAATATCCTAAAAAAATTAAGGAGAAAAAGTATTAATAATCAGGCTATCAAAAATTATATATAGCTTTTAAATTTTAAAATAATATATATAAAATACAGTATATTATTTTAACAAAAGAGAAGTAATTATTTATAAATTTTAAAGAGAAATATGGATAGAAAGATACTAAAGAAGAATTAATTAATAAATTTAATATACGTTAAAGAAGTAAAAATTTTTTAAAAAAATAGATTTGAAACTTACAATAAATACAAGAGTTTGAGATCCTGTTAAAGAAAAGTTGTCAAATATAAAAAATAAATAACAAAAGTTTTTGTATAAGAAATTATAATTGAAAATCACATATAATATATAGAAGTTTTTGGTCCTGTTATTGTTGCCAAAACTGTAATGTAACAAGTTAGACCTTTGGTTAATAATATATAATAAACAACAGAATAGAAAGAAGTTTTTAAAAAAATTAACTTAAAATTCATAATAAACACAAAAATTTTTGGTTTTGTTATAATCACCAAACTGTAATATAATATTATAATAAACAACAAAAATAAAAGTTTTAAAGAAAATAAATAATAAAAATCTACTCTAAAAATCTGTTTTGTAATATTTTTCTTCCTTTAAGAATTTTATTTTACAAAATTTCTTTGATTTGCAGAAATTAATTAATAGTTTAAAATAAATTTCACTTAACTCACTAATCTTTTTGAAAGTTAAGGTTTTTGGTCTAATAAATCTATTCATATCTAATAATACTAGTTGTATTATATATAATAGTTTTGAGGCATTACATTTGTCAGCATAGTTCTTGCAATTTATAGTATAGTTGTAAAATAATTTACGAGAATATTTTTGTAATAAATTTATTTTGTAGATTTTTTAAAGCAAATAATTTTCATATATCAAATTCATATACATCATTTTTTTGGCTAATAAAATTACGTTATTTTTCATATACAAAATTTAATAATAATTTGTATATATCAGTTTTGTAATATGTTGTTATATTAGTAGATTTTATTAGCATATTATAGAAGATTTTATTAGTATATTTTATTAGTATAATTTATATTTATTATATGTTTATTTTTAGCTTTAGTTTAATAGT